AGTGGATGCGGCCTAGGTTGGTGGGTGCGGCGCGCAGCCTCGGTTGGTGGGTGCGGCGCGCAGCCTAAACTGATTTTGCTAATAACCTGGTATTTAAATGATTTCTTCATAATTTCTAGCAATGTTTGGTAAATTTTATTTTATTCACCAGCATTATCAACCTGTGCACCAGATAAGTTCCGATGTGAAAATGGACATTGTTTATCTATTTATTGGCTTTGTGATGAAGAATTTGATTGTGAAGATGGCTCAGATGAAACACCAGAAGCCTGTAATAGAAGGAGTAAGTGTACATTAACAATGCTTTCAATATTTTGTATACTGACCGACTCGTGCATGCAGTTGAGATGGTACATGGAATCAAGAGTTATTTTGCGATACCTACATCATATTAGAGGATAGTCTGCATGAATAGTTTGACCAACTGTAGTTTTTTAGCTCCGCTGTCGACTTTGTCGAGCGGAGCTTATCATATGAGTGATTGTCCGTCGTCGTCGTCGTCGTCCGTGTCAATGTTTTACTTTTTCGACTTCTTCTTGAAAACTACAAGCCTGAATGCTTTGATACTTGGTGTATATGTACCTTGGGTAGACCTCTCTTAGGTTTGTTCATTTCATGCTTTGATATTACATATATAAGTACTACATGTGAACCTCTCTCAGATTTGTTCATTTCGTGATGATATCTTCAATTCTCTAATTTTGGTGAATATTTTTGTCATTTTTGGTAAAAAGTGATATTTTCGACGACTTGTTGAAAACCAATAGTTCAATTGCTTTGATATTACATATATAAGTACTACATGTAGACCTCTCTCAGATTTGTTCATTTTGTAATGATATCTTTAATTTTCTAATTTTGATGAATATTTTTGTCATTTTTGGTAAAAAGTGATATTTTCGACTTCTTGTTAAAAACTGTAAGTCCGATTGCTTTGATACTATACATATTGTTCATTTTCTAATGATGTCTTCAGTTCTTTAATTGAAATGTGCATTGCTAACAGCGGAGCTATCTCAGCCGATAGGCTGCTTGTTTTCAGTACTGAGCCATATTGAAAGTCCTGCCTGTGGGAACTGTCAGAAAGCTGCAAAAAAAAAACCTGATCTTCGTGATCAACTATACACTACATTTTGTTTATGACCAATTTTCACATGTTATGCCAACTCTGTTTTGGCACATGCCTGAGAGGCACCTTCAATCAGATGTATGCATGTTAGAAAGAAAAATATGCAATCTCTTGGTGCATAGGAGTATGTTTACACTGAGCTCGCAATACCATACAATTAGGACAATGCAATTAAAAATTACCAGGATTGTTTACAAATGACACAAACATCAGATATTACTGATTTATGCTCAATCTTCTCTGTGAAATCATGAATCTAGCACTGCCTAATTATAGTCTACTAACAAGACAATGTTGTTCCGAACAACCGATGAGACTGCGCCTTTGCAGTGCCATGGTATGATTAATTTTTATCTGTAATTTTTTTTTGTAACTTTTAACCTCCTTCAGTAGGTTGTTATGAGTTGATAAAATACTAAATAAATATATGTTGAGCATCTGTGTAATTTCTCTGCATTCTGTCAATAGGAGAACATAACTGCATTGGAAAAGATTTTATTTGTGAAAACCAGATATGTATCAGAGAATCCTTGGTTTGTGATGGTTTTCAGGATTGTGGTGATGGCTCTGATGAGATAGACTGTGGTGAGTCTTAACAATTTCTGTAATGTTTGCTTCCAAGTCATCTTTACTCATCTGAAAAGTCTATAGACTATTTATTTAAGTCTCATTAAAACAGAGCAGTACTTGACAACATTTAAAAATCCAATTTATAGAAAATATATACCGGGTATGCAAACTCAGAATTAGTGATCATAATTTAATGATAGAGAAAGGTTGATGATAGAATGTGTGAAAGGTGTGGTACTCATAAAGTTGAGGATGAATTTCGCTTTCTGATTGATTGTTCACAACACAAAGAAGCAAGAATGAGGTTATTTCAATCAGCACAAACCTCAAATGTTGATAACGAAGCAAAGTTTATATATATTATGGGCAACATACATATAGAAATGACAGTTTATATTAACGAAAGTGCCAATTTCTAAACCAGTGTTATCAGTATCTTTATTTTCATCTATTTTTTTTTTTTTTAGAATAGTATTTGATTATATTCTATTCAAAATGAATGTCAATAAAGTTATTATTATTATTATTATAACAGCGTACATTCTCTGCTTAGGAAATAAATGTTGTCGCACATATGGTAGCGAAGACTTGGAACTCAAGTTATTTATTCTTTTTATTTTTATGGTGTGGTTTTCTATTAAATCTAGTGTATGAAAGAACAAGTTGCAGCAATGAGGAATTTCTGTGTGATGAATATCATTGCTTAAGTCTAGATAAGATTTGTGATAGAATAGAAGACTGTCTTGATGGAACAGACGAACAAGAATGTGGTAAGATATTTTCCATATTACATGCACTTGTACCATTTTAATAGAAGCCGCAGCTTCCAATACAGATTTTACAGTAACTGTGATCTGGAAAGCCACATGTTCAGTTATGTTCTCAAACTACTTGTTCAGTGGTGTTGAATGTTTCAGGACAGGTGGGAATTTGCAAGCAAATTTGCTGACCAATGCATTATTGTAATTGCTGTGCGACTGGTTTGTTTTTAGATGTGATAGTTACCTGCCCCGGTGGTCATTACCAATGTTCAACTGGGCAATGTATCTCTAGTTACTGGGTGTGTGATGATGAAGAAGACTGCCCAGAAGGGGATGACGAACTTGACTGTAGTAAGTCTTGCCTCTTAATTCTGTTACAAAGTGATGTTATCAATTAATGACCAAATAAGGGCATTAGTGCCAGAGCACAGTAGATCATTCTCTGGATGCATAAGGTGCAGTACCTTAGTTGTCTTTCAGGTTGACTTTGTCACCATACATAATATATATGGACAGAGGTACATTACTTGGGGTTTGCAACGCGCATAGTACTGTATGGTGACATCATGCCAAAATCCCATTCAAGTCTCATCTCGTAGATATAGCGAGACTGATGCTACGACCTTCTGACATGACATAGGCGGTTTGTAACAAAACAATAAAACATGTATTGCCACATTCATAGTGAAAAAATGTAATACATAGAAAATGTACAGAAAATATAGTTATCGTAATCCATCATATCGTGAGCAGCTATTTTGATCCACCTGGACCTCAAGTATCCAAGTTACCTTGGGCATGCATATTCGCATTTTTCTGAGTTTGAACGCTTATGCAAGAGCGAGATTGAAACAGGATCTTGGTATCATGTCATGTACCTTTTAAAGGTTAAGAACCAGAAGACAGATTAACATACACCTCTAGTATTCATTTCACACTGTTGTGTTCTGTATCACTTAAAATTTAGAGCATGTACTGGTAGCAGTGTATGGGAAATCACACAGCATGTTTATATCCTATGTACTGAAGGTCCTACTAATAGCTCTTACTCCAGATAGCACCAGTCACCAAAAGCTTGGGTCTGATCGTAAAAGAATGATCGAGGGTCACAAACTTGCACAAACATTAAGTGCTTACTGTACTTGAACCTATCAGATCATGCTGATTTGGCATATGGCGATTCTCTAGTCTAGTTACTAACCATGCTTTGTGCCCAGTCCTGCCTTATGACTAGTTATTTATGTATTGTAAATAAATGTGTTAAGCGTCACTATTCTTGAATTTTGCATCATCAATCAGATGTCTATAATCACTATCAATTGTCATTGCATCATGGCGGCATTACAGAATTTTCATCTGTCCTCGTGGCTTGACAAGTTTTGCGTTTCAGAAATTATTATACTAAAACATGTCGTCCATTATGCACTTGGTTCAGTCATTGTTTGGAGGTTCAATTCCTGTCCCTGTAAGGTTAGCTGAACCCAAACTGAATCTATATTTCTTGCACAATATCAAACTCTTATCCGAATAGTGCGAGTAGTTGGAAGTGACTGAAAGCAGATCTTTCTGAACATTAATCATTTTATGTTTGCAATAGTGGCAGGTACATGCAATGAGAAGATGTTCACTTGTCTAAATGGTATGTGTATATTTAAGGAATGGAGATGTGATTATGATGATGACTGTGGTGATAATAGTGATGAAGAAAAGTGTGGTAAGTGGCATGCATTGCATCTAGATCCTATTACTTTGTAATGAGTCATCTCTGATTAAATGTTTATGAACAGCAACACCAATCATAACTATTATTACAGGTCGACATCTAGTGCATGTCTTGTATATGCACTAGATAGCATGATCTTATTGGTAGACAAATCCCATCAGAGGAAAAAAAGTTGTTTTGTTTAACTTGTACATCCCTGCCAGTCTAGAAGCTTCTCTATTAGACCTATACATACCAGCTAGTCTCTTCTCTGTTAATCCCATACATCCCTGCTAATCTCTGATCCTGAACCCCATATTATATAATGTATCCACCAACAGTAAATCCTTGATTTCTCAATTACTACTGTAACAGTTCATATTTGTATGTCTATAGCCAGTCATTGAGCAGTTTAGAGTTATATATATTATATAAATTTTGTGTTTTCAGTTTACGTCTCCGAATGTAATGATAATGAGTTTAACTGTACAAATGGTGAATGTCTGCCCTCTCATTGGCATTGTGATGGGGAAGTTGATTGCCAAGATTCCTCAGATGAATTACATTGTGGTAAGATTAATTTGATCTAATTCACTAAACTGTTTGAGTGAAAGTGTATTTTTGTCACCTTTAACAAAATAAAAACCCACATAATTTTTTTGTCATTTTTCCCCAAAATTTTGGTCACGACCAGTAGCCTATAAGGCCAGACTTTTATTATCCCTTGTTTCGCGAACCCGCCGAATGAACAGGAGCCGAAAATGAAATAAAAATAAAATGTTATTTCAGCATAATTTCTCGCGCCCCCGCCGACTTGTAAGTGCAAAAAATAGCTAAAAAAAAATTTGTTATCTTCATTTTTTTCCGCCCACCGCATAACAAACCCAAGTTGCATTTACGTGGAAGTATCATGATCAAAGTACCGAAGTCTTGCGCAGATTTGAAACAAGGTTATACATGGAATAAAATTTTATTTCATTTCTTCTCTCAATCAATGATCTCGCTTACAATTCTTTGAGAATCACACAAATTTAATGGAAAAAAATAATTAATTTAATTTAAAAATAATTAATTTAATTTTTTTCCCTGCCCTCCTCAAAAAAATTGCCTCATAAAAACTCGAGAAACAAAGAATAAAAAAAGTCTGGCCTAAGAAATTAAGTCCATGTGTTACAAAATTACCAAGAAAAAAGAAATGCATAAAATTGGCCGGAAATTTGAGTGAGAATGATTGAGGCACTCAAAGTTGAGTATGGTAATTCCATGCATGGCGATATTAACTGGAGTTAAAGTTGAATTTACTGTCATCAATATATTGCTCTGAACACCAATATAACGACATTGCAAGTTTAGTTGCTGACTGGTTAGCTATGAGAGTTTCAAGAGTGTTGCATGATTGGAACTGGTTAGTCAAAACATCTGTTGTGAGGATGTGCCTTTCAGCTAAATGCGAGCAATTATGTGCATTATGACGAGCACCAGAGACTGTACATCCTGACATTTCATACTTACGGTACATATCTTTTGTTTGGATAAATTTGCCATTTATATAGAAATTTATAAAATTGAATGAAGTCAATTGAACATGTATGAAACAATATAGCGATGCCAGTAAGATACTGTAGCTATATATATAGTTTAATTACACTGTAATTAAACGTCACTTATATAAGATTGCATCTAATTGAGTTGAATGATTGTAATTAAATTGCATTTCTATATAGGATTGAGTTGATTTAATTGAGTTCATTGAAACTATTGATAAACTTCAATTGATACATGTGTTAATTTATCTTAAAAATCTTTGCTGTCACTTCATTGACATTTTCTATGAGTTTATATTTTTCAAAATACGAGGTTTTAAACTAAAAACAACGTATACTTATTATCGTCAGATTAACAGTGACCATGAGAGAAACTTGAATGTGTCCAGACAAACTATTTCATGGATTATTTACCTACGTGCTGTGGTTTGAGTTGGGGCAATGTGACTAAAACTGAAATTAAAATTCAGCACACTACTTTTTAAAACTAGTTACTTGAATAAAACTTACAAACACATTCAATTTACCAGACTACTGAACAACTAGGAAAAGTGAAAAAAAAACTTCAAATATCACCAGCATATAAATGTGTAATTATTTTTTTTGCAGGAAAAGTAATTTTTTAACACGTTACAGAATGCAGATACAGGCTTGAAAAGCTTGAAGTCTGGCGATTCCAAAAATATATACTTTCCTGGGGTTGTTGTCATTTTATAGTCACAATTAGAAAATGAAAACAAGTATGCAAATAATAGGAACGCTACCTCAATAGGATTGCAAATCATGGTTTAGTGGTTGCATATCTTTGTTGGTTTGATGTCATGATCAATATTTATTTCAGAATTAAAACTGTGTGCAGAAGATGAAGTAATGTGTGCTGATACACTGGCATGTATTCCCAAGCAGTGGCATTGTGATGGTGTACCTGATTGCCATGATAGTTCTGATGAAAAAGTTAACTGTACAACTGCAGGTAAGCTATGCAGTCCGTTAATTTTATAATACCATAAAAACCCTCAAATAAGAGCCACTTTGTAACACTTTCATTTCTGGGTGGTGCTTATTTGAGGTAACATGTTGACAACCCTGTAGCCAGTGGCTCTTAAACCAGGGTCATCAAACTTTTTCATTGTGAAATAGGGAAGGGGATAGGCAAACACACACACAACCAAAACAGACAAGTAATTATTAATGATGTATCATTGCAATTAATTTATTCTGTAAAAATACTGTTATGGGAATAACAAATGTCAAAT